GGATGCAGGCTGGAAGAGCTTCCCATTTATCAGAGTTAAATCTGAGGATGAGGAACAGAAACGAGTCAGAGAAAACATCTGCGCAGCGTTCTCTCCATGAAATCCCTGCAGCGGGTGGAGAACCGCAGCACAGCAGACAACTGTCCATCAGCAACATATTTAATAATAAGAACAGTGCAGTAAAGTTGCTGCTGGTACATGTGCTAGTAATTTATCAATATATTAATTTGCTCTGTGTTACAGAAACATGGTTACAGCGGGATGAACACAATGCACCTCAAAGGTCTTGACAACACTTCACTTGTTCTACAATTTTTCATGTTACAGCTTCATTCCAAAATTCATTTTTCATCCTTGCGACAGGAATGACAGATCACATAGTTCGCTCACTCGGTCGCAGCTTTCCAGCTGCAGCCCCACACACAACCACAACCTCAGGTGCCGGCACGCTCTTATTCAGGGAAGGCGTTATGAGCTAATGGAGGTCCGGTGTGTCTCAGCCTCCCCTGCAGCCGTGCCCAGGCCACACCCAACCTAGGTCGGGCAGCCATCCAGCCTAGCCAAATCGGCCATGGCCATGTGCATCCGTGGCCCATGGACTAGCGGCAGGGATGAGTTGTGTCCGGGGCCGACCGAGTGTGTCCAGCGACGGCGCAGCAGTCGAGGAGGTAAGCCGCGTCTCACATGCAGCTTGGCAGGCCGCCGGCAGGCTAGACCACAAACGCTGACCTCTGGTGTAAACAATCCAGGTTCAGACGGTGCTGGCCTCTGCCGAGGACGCCGCTTGGACCAGACAGCACGGTGACCTCTGACATGAATGTGGCAGGTTCAGATGGCGCACAGACCTCCAACTCAGCCTGGGCAGGTCCCTGTTCTGGGCGACCTCTGGCTCGGCATGAGCTGGTCCAGATAGCACGCAGACCGCTGGCTTGCAAAACAGGTCCCTCTCGTGCATGGACATCTGCAACACCATGGGGGTCGTCTCCCTCCCCAATGCGGTCTAGGAACGCCGGTCAGGCTGGCGGCAGTGTCCGTCAGGAACCAACCAAGCTTCCAGACTCAATATCAGTTGCATCTGGAGCTCGGAACGGTCCTGCAGCCGTTCCAACTGGCGGCGAGACACCACCACCTGCTCCCTTCACATAGCTGCAAGCCCAACCACCATTCGGGCCAGCGTGTCCATTGGCTGGCCCGGTCGAGGTTCCGCCATGCCACCTCCCGGGTTTCAGCACCACTGTGACGGACCCGACCATGTAGTTCGCTCTTTACACACTTTTCTTTATTCAGGTGCTCCTTCTTACACACAACCACAACCTCAGGTCCCGGCACACTCTTTTACTCAGGGGAGGCGTGACGAGCTAATGGAGTTCCGGTGTGTCTTAGCCTCCCCTGCAGCCGCGCCCAAGCCACACCCCTCCACAATCCTACGACAACTTTGGATCTTTTACGGAAGAGTGACTTCTGTCTGATCACTCCACCATGCAGACCTGATTGGTGGGATGCTGCACAAATTGTAGTCCTTTCTCCACAAAGCAACACTGGAGCGATATCAGAGTGACCAACATTCTTGGTCATCTACCTAAATAAGGCTCTTCTCCCAATTGCTCAGATTGACTGGGGACAGACCTACATGGAACTCCAGTCACCCCAGTGTGTGAAGAGGATTCTCCATTAACATGAACGAATCGATTCAACTCAATTCAATTTTGTTTATATAGCAACAAATGACAACAACATTTGCCTCAAGGTGCTTTATATTGTAAAGTAAAGACCCTACAATAATACCCTGCGCTTTGGCATCAGTGGGAAGGAAAAACTCCCCTTTAACAGGAAGAAACCTCCAGCAGAGCCAGGGTCATTGTCAGGACTTCCTGATAATAATGACTTACAGTCGTCCAGCCTGGAAGTAATAAATGCATGAACTAGTTTTTCAGCGTCACTCTGAGACAGGATATTTCTAACTTTAGAGATCGTGAATGACCACGGCAGACCCGATGACATTAACATGCTTTGCAGCATGCTTTATTAGCACACACACGATGCCGTTCACAATACACACAGAGATGCAGCTCTCCCGCTGCCAGCCCAACAACAACCCACCACAGGACCCAGTACAATATTTAAGTCAGCAGGGCGTGAAGTGCTTTGAGAAACTGGTCCGACATCACATCATGTCCTGCCTGCCACCCACACTCAACCTGCTCCAGTTTGCACACACAACTAACAGATCTACTGAAGATGCCATTGTTACAACGCTCCACACCACCATCTCTCACCTGGAACAACAGCGGTGTGACACCAGGCTGCTCTTTGTTGACTTTGGCTCTGGTTTTAATACCATACTCCCGGCAAGACTAACAGTAAAACTGCTGGATATCGGACTTCCTTCTACCACCTCCCGCTGGATCAGAGACTTCCTGTCAGACCGTGTACAGAGTTAGAGTGGGGCCTCATCTTCCCTCAGCCCTCAGCCTTAACATCGGCTCTCCACAAGACTGTGTACTGAGCCCCCTACTATACACTCTGTACACACATGACTGTGTTAGTTCGCACCCAGACAACACAGTCATCAAGTTTGCAGATGATACCACCGTGGTGGGGCTCATCTCTGCGGAGACGGCGTACAGAGCTGAGGTTCAGAGGCTGTCAGATTGGTGTGCTGACAACAACCTGGACCTCAAAACCACCAAGACAACAGAGCTGGTAGTCGACTTCAGAAGGAGGAAGTCTGAGCTGCAGCCTGTCAGCATCAATGGGGAGTGCGTGGAAAGGGTGTCCAGTTTCAAGTTCCTGGGTGTGCACATAGACACAGACCTCCAATGGAGCTCAAACACCTCGACTGTTGTAAAGAAGACCCAACAGTGTCTCCACTTTCTGACAATCCTCAGAAAAATGGACCTGAAGAAGGAGCTTCTATTGCTGCTCCATTGAAAGTGTGCTGACATCCTGCATCTGTACAGTAGTGACACCTGAGAATGCTGTTTGTTTCAGCTCCGCCTTCAATACAGTCCAACCCCACAAACTGGTTAATAAACTAAGCAACTTAGGACTTAGCAGCTCACTGTGCAGCTGGATATTGGACTTCCTGAGCGTTAGACCCCATAACATCAGGATGGGAGAGCACACCTCCTCCACCCTCATTCTGAACGTAGGCGTCCCACAGGGGTGTGTCCTCAGCCCCCTCTTATACACACTTTTCTATCTGTGTGTGGTTCTCCAGCTGCACCATAGCACACAGAAAGACAAAAAAAAATCACTGGACTTCCTCCCTGACCTGTACAGCACTCGCTGTCTCAAGAGGGCACGCAGCATCCTACGGGACTGCACACACCCAGGACACCGGGTGTTTAAGCTGCTGCCATCTGGCAGGAGAGTCAGGCTGCTGAGGGTCCAGACAAACTGACTCAAGGACAGCTTTTACAACAGGGCACCAACTTTTTCGTCATCATCAGGTGACGTCTTCAGTCTCAGCTGACTGCAGGTTTCAATCTTATAAACAGGACATTTGCATAATGACTGAAACCAGCCCTGAAGGAACAATGGGCTGGGAGGTCAGTTCCTTAATCTTAATTATGCAAATTCTCAAGATTATTGATCAACAAACACTGATCAATGGTCATGAGTCCCATTCACAGAGAGTTGGGGAATGGCTGCAATCACAGCATTGTAAGATGGTGAAAGATGTACCCTTGTCCCCTTTTCGAGGTTGTGCTCAGCCGGGCCCCATGGACTAAGGTCCAGTCACCAGATGCTTGCCCTCGGGCACCCTCCCCTGGCCTGGCTCCAGGGCGGGGCCCCGGTAACCCTATCCTGGGCAGGGTAAACTGTTCCCTTGGTGATATTCTCATACGGGTCTTCTGAATCGCTCTTTGGCCCTTTCTCAACTCTCAAGTAAGCAAGTCCACGCTCCCGTGCGTTCT